TCCTGATTAAATCAGTAAAATAAATTCACACATTCATTAATTTTTTCAGATTTTTTGAATGTGTGTAAGCAAATCCCAAAAATATGAATGAAATGATAAGTCACTCATCATATTTTGGATATTTTAGATAGGATTTATTCGGCAAAATTTTGAGCTGACGTCATCAATTCTTGGAAGGGGATAAGCAAATATATTTTGGTTAAAAATTTATTATGCCCATCATAACTTTAAAACATCTGCAAAATTTCAAAGCATTTGGTTATGCAGATTCAAAATTAAATTGCAAAATGTTGTTTTATAATTTTGATTTCTTTTATATGATCGTTTTCCGGGTTGAGACCGTGTCAGTTGATTTTTTGGGCTCAACTGACACAGTCCCAGCCCGGAAAACAATCATATATTGACTCCAACCGTAAATCCTCCGAAATTATAGATTTCTTTTTCCAAAAATCTAGACGTTTCAGATAAAAACTCAACACGGAGTTATAAACTACATGTGTGGGACTACATTAGTTTATAAAATTTAAAACCTATTTACTATGTACAATTTTGAAGTGACGTCATCATATTATTGGGGATGACAAGACAAATTTTTGTTAGCGTTTTAGCATCTACATGATATTTCTAATATAAATACAAAATTTGACAACAATCGGCGCAGTACTTTTGAAGAGTGTCTGTCTAATAAAAATCGGGACGGCAAACAGACAGACAGACAGACAGACAGACAGACAGACAGACAGACAGACAGACAGACAGACAGACAGACAGACAGATAGACGGACACATGAAAAATTACAAAATACATTTTATTGAAAAATATGCTGTAACATATATGAAGCATCAATCGTGCTCTAGAAACCAGGGAGGTTTGGCTTTTACATTTTTGAAGATTTTATGCTTTTAACAAAACATCTTATCTTTAAAACAGATACCATTTTAATGTAACAAAAAATTTAATTTTTGAATTGTAGTCAGCATCTTTGTCAAAAGTTGTTGCATAAGTTCATGTTTTTTTTGTTGCAATGCTAGCTTTATAAACATATTTTATTTAATCTATACTCATACAAATTAAAAAGGCGAAGACTACTGTTACTCTATCTGACCACTATAAACAGAATCTCCACATTTCATTACAAATTAAAAATCATCCTATTTTTTCTAAATTTATGTGCAATTAGTCTAATTCTAGAAAATTTTAGGATTAAACAGTTTAACAAAGACAAAGATCTTGAAATAATATTTTTTAAGTTTATTTACATGTTTCGTTTAAAAAACGCAATTTCGTAGTAGATATTTCAGGAATCCCGAAAAGAATGTGTATTTACTTATAATCGTTGATCAGAGTTCGCATGTTTTTACATACATACTTTTTTTGTAAGGATGATATTTAATTAGGAGTAATAATTTTCTCCCAGTCCCTTCAAACTACTGTTTTTTGATATATTTATATGTATACAGGCTGAAAAAAGATATACATATTCCATTTAAAAAAAAAGAGAACGTTCTATACAGGGTGTTTCTTTTATTTGATATAACCCCTGTAATTTTTTTAATCTTAAAGATAAACCTGTTTTTCTTTGAGCAAATTTGTATTATTTTAAAAGATGTCTGTATTGGTAACCTCACATTTTTATTATCACTTCCGGTAGAACTGGAAATGACGTTAACTTTATTTTTTTATGGAACACTAGATATATTTTTTCATAAATAGAAAGATTGGTTTTTCTAAAAAATCAAAAACAACCAATATTCTAAAATCAATACTTAAAAAGTTATTCAATAAAATAGACGATAAATTCATATTTATTGATGACAATCTAGTAACTTGAAACATCGACACAAAAAAATTACAGAGGTTGTATCAAATAAAAGAAATACGTGGTATGTATAATGAAATTAATTTTAATTACTTTAAAATACATAATAAGTAATAAGTTAATAATAACTAATAAAAGCCGTGGTAGTTGATTTTTTCTTTGTCTAAAATTATTGTTAAATTAAATATCGCAAAGTGTACGTTTTTTTTAATGCCAGATCATTTTTTCGCAGTGGTAATAAATAAATATACTTACATTGCTGCTGTTGATTAGTACGTTTTATTAACTTACATAGTTACCAACAACACAAAATTGACAATAATTATTAAACGTACACTGAACAAACTTTATTTCCTTGGGCTATTTTCTAATCAGTGAAGTGTAACACAGGTTAAATAAATTTCCTCAAGCTTGTCTTGTCATGATACAACTGCTCTTGATGATCTGATGCCAAATTAGGAAACACTACAGCAGAAGAATCGGAATTAGGTAACACTTTGTTGGCTACTTCTCTTTTCTGCACGGCTGATTCGTGTGTGCGGACTTCAAACAACCATTTTTCTACATTGTTAACAAATAGAAGAATGATTGCGGACGATGCTCGAAAAGCATCTCGTATATCTTATAATAAAATTGATTTTCGCTTACGATATCCACAAAAAATGCCGAGATCTTTTGGAGTTCTTTTTCAAAATTGTAAGTATTCTACACTAACAAGCAATCTCCGTTATAAGTTAATTTCAGTATCAAAGATGTCCCCCAATTTTCTATGTCATTTATTATTAGCACTATTCTCGTTCATAAGCTCGGCATGTTACCACAGTTTCAAATATTAGAATAATTTACATCAACATATCATAGTTACAGCGACTTACCAAATAATGATATTTACACTCACACTTCATTAATTTGTACTCCTATAAGGGACTTTATATACTAATAGACAGTTTATGGTAAGCAGTTTTGATTTAGTTAGCAACGATTCCGAAGTAGATATCTCTAATAATTTCGATATTACACAAGAAAAATCAAAATTACTCTGTTATAAGCAGATTCAGCCAGGAATATATTATCAAATTACACTGAAAATATTGCTAGAATTTAAAAACTAAAAAGAAAAACAAAAAGTGTTTTTCCGTACAGGCGAAATTCAGGACTAAGAGAATTTTGCCTGTTTCTAAATTCATTAAAGCTAGAAACATAAAGATGTAATTACCTATTGTTATCAGCACTTGGAAGCTCTTACAACAATATCTCAAATAGGATTTTGGGTCCTTTTCAACTGCAACCGAAGAATTTAAAGGTAGACAGCTGTACTTTATCCATTATGGGTTATAGTAAGAAAGTTATTGATAGTACCGAGAGAACAATAAAAAACACTATCAAAGACAGCCATAGAATTTTCATCTTGTCAGCTTACTGTCAGTTTGAAAGTTTGAGTTCAAATGCACCAATAAAAAATCTGTGGTTCTCTTTGCTTGTGTTTTTATAGCTGTTTCAGTACTTTCATCAACATACGTATAGTATATTATTGAATGTGGTCACAATTTTATTAACAAAAAAAGAACTGATGCAAACAGCTGAATGTGATGACTTAAAATTACTTCTCACAAACTGTGGCATTTGGTGCAGTGCAACTTCTTATTTCCAAGTCCATTGGTGTTGTCGACTATTGGTATTGAAGTGGTTTGTACAAATTAGGAGACGGTGATTTACAACAACACCTCCTTACGACTGGTACTTAGCGAGACTATAAAATGTCCTAAAAACTTTACCCACAAAATTTATTAGTTCTCAAGCAAACCAGCGAAATACCCAACGTATGGAGGTACAGCTTCCTCGCATTATCGTAAAAAGAACTGTAAACCACTAAATGTGATATTGCCAGCCTGCAATATTTACACTCTGCATTTTCAGTCTTTCTAAATTAATTTTTAGTGCGATGCATTGCAGATTCAAATATTCACTTATTATGACTGTGACCATTAAAGTATTTTTATTAAAAAAAAATAATAATAATAATAATAATAATAAGATTAGTTATAAAGTAACTCATACTTTGAGTGCATTTAAATTTACGTGTAAATGTACTCGTATCATAGTTGTTTACTGATTGAATAGGTAACTGTTGAAATAATTTTGATATTTTTGATATTCCACAATCAGAAGACGTGTTCAACTGATTATAATAATTAATAACTTGAAGCGAACTGTAATGTAACGAAACACCCCCTAATCAACAACACCTTTGTTTAAAACATTCCATGCCGATTAATGACTCATTTATCTTCATCCCACACTTGTTGACAATTAAAATTATATACAATTAACACCATGCGATACTTAAATCAAATGTGTTATAAAACCACTTTAGATTCAATCTTTTTTTTTGGTAATTTATGTGCGACACGAAAAAAAAAGACGTTGAAAATCTATAATCCTTCAATTTTGGTAACCCACTTCAAATATACTCCCAAACCGACATATTTCTGTCTAATTTTTATAAGTAAGTAAATGAAAATATTTTCCCATTGTTATCACTAATAAAACTACAATTTCATCTAAATCCTTTTGTACTTCGAAGACGTTTCCTAATTCCATTTTCCTTGTAGCTGGTAATGTGTTCCCTCTGCATTAATTGCTGCATTGTTACGGAATTCGTGTAACTTCGACTGTGAATTCTCTCTCCTTGCAACACACAGTACGTAAATGAAATCACGTCCAATGGGAAAACATAACAGAAAACCGGCGGTTCCCAAAATTTTTTGACGACGGTGACATATTTATTTGCAAAAATTTGAAAAAACATTCAACAGTTTTTCTGTCGTCTATCATCTCTCCAAAATTACACAGCCAATTACTTATAAATTTTAAGTATATCGTATCGTTTATTCCACCTAACAAACCATTCCTAAAGATATTGTTACAGGTGGCTTGTAACCGAATAAATCACCCCTACTTTTATCTTATACAACTTATCTACAAATATGTTACGAACTTCTGAAATCTTGCGAAGATACTAAGATTTAAAAATCAAAACATTTATTTATGTATCTACTCCAAAAACTTGATGACGTCATTTCAAAAAATTATGACACATGTTTATTGAGAAAGAAGTTACATAGGCTAAAATTTCGAAATACAGTAAATATGTGTTGGAAAACAGAGATACATACATACCTTATTTTAGTTACTCCTATTTATTATAGATTTTAATATCTACTCATCAAGTAAAGATTGTATCCTCTGCAGTATGCATCTAAAAAGAGGTAGTTATTTATAGCAAACCACTCAGTTCTAAAAGGCACCAAATACCGGCATTAAATTTTCATTAAAACCGAAATGTTCGATATAGATAGCAAACTGTACTGTACACATTTTTTTTTTTTGTTTAAATTCCACCAACACCTCACTTACTCGCGAAAATCCACGTAGCAACGCTGAAAAGGAAAATTACGCCAAGTTTGTCTGAAGGCATTGTAATTTAATTTTGTGCTTACAGTATTCAAGAACAACTTCTTAGTCGATGCAAGAAAGCAATTTTCGTTGCTTTTGTGGCAATATATTAAATTGAAACTGTTTGATGCACTTGCATAGGTTTTGAATCAAACCCAGTTTCATATAAGTCGTTTATTATTTTTATCTGCCACCAACGCGTTAACAACATAATCCAACAGGCAATAAAAAATAAAATTTTTATTAATTATAAATTAAACTTACGCAGTTTCACCAACCAACAATAGGTATAAACCACATTAAATAAGGTAAGATGGATTATGTGGAATCCGCTCATTGTTTTGAGGAGGCGCCTTCTGTAACTATTTTTCATTTTTGTTTGAAGGTAATTTTATTGTTAAAGCTGCTTTCTGTGTTTGTCTTGGTAATTTCACTCCCACTTTTATATTTGTTCTCGGTAGGGTAGGGCATTAATTTACTTTAGAAAATCAAGTACTTTATTTGCTGCTTCTCTCTGTTCAGCTCTTCCTTTGTATGTTTATAATTTTCGCTAACGATGGAATCATTTACTCAGGTATTCACTTTGACGTCTAGAAAAAGACCGTTTAAAGCGTGTGTCGCAGTCAGTGAGCGTAAAAGGCAAGCAATGCAAAGGGGTAGATAATTAATTTTGTGGTGAATTGAGAATTACTAGAAATACGGTGCAATCAATAAAGGCAATATGTTATTACTGCACTAACCAAAATGTGGTTATACGCGAAGGTTGTGTCTGGAACAGTAATTCAGCGTCGTTAATTCAAACTCATTTCAAAGGCAATTCAATGGGATGAACTTCTCAGTACCTGAAATCATTTTGACGCTACAGCAGGAATAGAATACTTAAGGTTCCAATCCCCCATCAAAGAAAATATTTTATACTATTCCGAATCGCATCAAAGCGAGTTAAAAATTCAGAAGGAATTTTTGTACGGAATTTAGAGATAGCTATTGCATTCCTTCTACCCGCAGGGAACGCTTTCCAAGTGATCTAGCAATCAGCGAAAAGGCTTTCTTTGTACAGAAACAGTAGGGCGCGAATAATCGGGAAAATGAGGTTATGATTTATTAAAACACTCTGGTATTTCATCAAGACAGGTATGCGAAATTTTCGGGATAATATTCTGGATACAGACGTGAACAACGGGCGATAAAACCGACAATTAAAACACACACTCTTTCCCATCGGCTTAGGTCATTCACTCGAGTTTCCAGAGATTTTGATCGCTTTATGGAAAAATTTATGAATACCATTTTGAGTTTTATGTCTCCCTAGCCATCATTAATTTAACTTGTGCTAGATCGATTCGTGTGGTCTTCCTTTGGATTTATGAATTTTTGTGCCCGCGGGAACCTGTCGTTTGTTTGCTGTTATCGCACTGGTGCGCCCCAATTCATGACAGCTTAAATAAACAACTTTGTAAATAACATTTAGCTTTTTATGGAGTTGGGCGGTTGTCTTGCAGTTAATTATGAAAGCTTTCAAAGGAAACGGTTAACTTAAAACATACACATTTATGGTCTTTTGTATTTCTTCATTCGACATTGTTTAATACATGCTGCTAATTAAAGTACAAAAAAAAATAATTGTAAAGCGAATGCTACATGAAAATACTTATGTAAATTTGAATATGTCTAAATTTTCCGCTTTTTAACAAAGTCATAAATTATTATCAAAATGATTATAATCCCATTATAGAACAGCCAGCGAAAGCAAGCAAGCATACACCTACTCAGAAATTTTGTAAAAGGTTAACGAAATGTTAACAAAACAACTTAGCAGAAATCTAAATGTTTTCAGTTTTTACTTTCCGAGCGTAAGTCTAAAGATGTAGATTTAAAAAATTTAAAATGATTAATAATATCTTATAAACTACTAATTCTGGAAATGCTAAATCGCTAATCAAAATTTATCTGTCCACCCCTTCAAAACACTGATGACGTAATTTCAAAATGTTGCAAAGAGAGTTTCATTCGAAATCTTAAAAGTATTCTAAAAGTTGTACCTACTGATAAACGTCCACTATAAGGAACGTAATCAAAATGAACACTACGTCATATCAATCATTTTAGCTAGAATAATTTACAAATTCTTTTAAAAAAATATAAAACGCAAAAAACAGTTGGATAAAAGTGAAGGATTACTTTTAGTTAACATGCATTTATCTAACAGCAAATTAGTTAGTATCTGATTTTAGTAAACTAGCAGCTTTATTTTACAAATTATGTTAACAAATTTAATAAGCAAAATATTTATTAACATGACTTAAAATGAAAGCTAGACAGGAAGACAAATAACGGGCTGGGGAAATGCTTCCCCGTGGGATAACTTGCAGGTACATTCAGGTGTGGCCGTCGTCGTCCAAACCATAGTTCGAAGTTAAAACTCTATTCAAGCAAAAAATCGAACAAAAGGATACAAATGAAAAGAGATGAGAAGAGGCTTTGAATAGAAACACACAATCACCTTGTGGTAAGTAAATACAATGTTAAACAATAATTATAGAAATCCATCATTAAACTTACAAGTTCCAAAAGAAGAAATTACTGGAGTTATACTGACTGGACAGTACACACGATCTTGTTGATCAAACCTTGTAAACAGAATCTAATCAAACGTGAAAGCGTAATGCAAAAAGCTCAATATTTTTAATAATTCGAATTTTTTTGTAGGTCTCCCCTATTTGATCTGATGGTATTATTATTCATATTATGGAATTATATTAGCAATTCTTTGTCTATGATCTGTGCGGTTTCTTTATGAACTGAATAAGGGAAATTTATTACGCAAATAGATATTTTCCAAAACAAAAAAAAAACAAAGCTAATTTGAAATTTTAAGCGTGTTTGAAGATTATCTGAGATGTAATATTGCTTGTGCTTCAGTACCTACTTAATGTATTTTGTCTGTTAAAACTCCACAGAAAATCTAAAAAAGGTGATATATGAACAGAGGACAAGTATAGTTTCCCCAATTCTAATTCGATTTTATGATTTGTAAAAGTTAACTTCCTTAACAATAAATTACTGCTGCCAATGATGGGGCAGTCATAAATAAAGATTCAACTATTATAATGTATAATGGTAACGGCATGGTTGAATCCTTATTTATGACTGTCCCATCGCCGGCAATAGTAATCTAATGTTAAGGAAGTTAATTTTACACAATGAGGTACTATCATAAAACCGTATTAGAACTGGGGAAACTATAATTTGATTTATTTTTCTTAATGCTGGACTCTTATTAACATTATGATTAGTTTATTGTATTGTAATGTTGGTCGGTGATTTAAAATCGACGTGGGTAAAACTCAACAATTTATTTCTTAATAACTCGAATTTACACGACTAACTGCACAGCTTGACTGACTTCTCTCAACATTCGCTGGACTCGACCCCACTTGCTGACTGAATAATCCTCGTTCCCGACGGTGCCCTCTGTTTAAACCTATACGTTCCTCTCGATGGATCGAGAACGCCGCTCAGCCACCGTCACCGCTTCTAGACTTGTCTGGAGGACCCATTCGTGACGTCCGCTTTCAGTCATCATCGCCGTACATACTAGAACCCATAGGCGTCGTACCGGCGCGACGTATGGGTTTATTTCGTAGCAATATATAGAAACCATCGTAGGTAAAGATATGACAATTAATACATGTATAGGGGCAATTCTGAACCAAACCTGTTAAACTTTAAAGGTTGTTAAAAAATAAACAGCCAATCAGATTTACGAATTTAACTCGTTACTATTATATGGAAATTTGCAATTTAACACACTTTAAATTTAACAAGTTTTTACAGAATTGCCATTTATCTCTACCAAAAAGTTTATGACTTTATTTCTGGAATACTTAAGTATATTGAACGCTACTATATCTAGAATAAAAAAACAACAAAATTGCAAAGTTAATTATAACTCTAATAAAAAACTTTTTTTGCAGAAAGTTTCCGTCGTCAGCACAAAATTTTATTATTCTTTTATTCGTATCATTCTACCTGTTAATGCAGGGTTTCTATAAATTATTATAGGGTCGCAGTAGGTCATGTAAACGTGCCGCCTCTCAGATTTAACTGTACGGAGATCCGTATTAAGTGCCCAAGGACGCATGACAAAGATCACACATGAACCACACATAAGTGTATGACTGGTTGACTAAACGCTTCATATGTTTTTAAAAAATAAAACTAATTCATTACGATAAAAAGAAAGAAATTTATTGCGGTTAAACATCACAGTAAACGTGGAAAATGTTCATCGTTCTGTTCAAGACACATGTTCACTCTCTTTTTAATTTCAAAAATGTTCTGTAACATCCTTTCGTCAATCTTGTTCAATTCCGCTTAAGTCGTTTCAAATCATCAAGAATTTCCTCAGATGAAGTCTTCCACGAGATTTCTCTTTGTTGATATTGCCAGTTCGAACAAATCTCTAATGTGGGCCTTCAACGATGTTTCTTGAGTTATTAAATTACGGCATTTGCCCAAATATTCTTGCTTACAAGCAGTTATAGAATGCACACACTCTTCTTTACAAAGTGCCCTTGCGATAATAAGACATAACGATGAAAGTGTCTTGTTCAACAGAATAAACCATTTTCACAGTCTTCGCTTCCTAGCACAAAAACAAAATTTTCGTACGCAACCACCATTTATAGGGTCGAAATTTTGGCTTTACTAAATGCTAAGGATTCACGACAAATACCACATGTATCTGTATAACTGGTTGCCTAAATGGTTCACATCTTATTAAAAAATAAAACTAATTCAATAAACAAATTTATTGCGGTTAAACATCACAGTAAATGTTGAAAATGTTCACCATTTTGTTCAAAGCACATGTTCACTATCTTTTTAATTCCAAAATGTTCCGTAACATCCTTTCGTCAATACTTTGGACCTATTGTTCAATTTCATGTTGCAGCAGGAACTCCTGACTGCTCAAGAGGTCTCAAATCATCCTCAACTTCCTGAGATACTGAAGGTCTTCCAGGAGATTTCCCTTTGTCAACACTGCCAGTTCGAACAAATCTGTTCATTATTACATCTCTAATATGTAATAACGATGTTTGTTGAAAATCACGGTATTTGGGCAGATATTTGCTTACAAGCGATTACAGAATAAATCCACTCGTCC